TTAGTAGCCAGGCACCATCAGCTTTCCTCACCACATTTGCTTCTGCACGCATTTTGTCTTCAATGATTGTGTTGGGACGGTGAGCATCACAGAATACTGGATTATTAGAACAAAGTGTTCTTGTGTTGAGGGAGTGCTTGAGTAGAGGCCCAATGTCCATCTACAACCTTAATTCTTAGCATATAGTTATAAGTACATCTATTTCCCTCTCATTATATATAAATCAGTGTACATATGTTCATGTCCATATTTAGACCTCTATAAATGTCCTTTGCCTCCTGGTTCTTTACTCTATTTCCTTTTACTTTCCTCTTGTCCCACGATCATGCTCAGCCTTAATTCTTAGCATATAGTTATAAGTACATCTATTTCCCTCTCATTATATATAAATCAATGTACATATGTTCATGTCCATATTTAGACCTCTATAAATGTCCTTTGCCTCCTGGTTCTTTACTCTATTTCCTTTTACTTTCCTCTTGTCCCACCATCATGTTCCGCCTTCATTCGGGTTTAGTAATTCCTCGCTGTTACATTGCCCTTGATTGAGCCCCACTAGGCATTCTACGCCCTTCTCTCCATTGATTTTAGTTCACTTGTTCCATTAAGGGAATTCTTATAAAGCAAAAGTTACCCTTCATGCTTCTTTACCAATTCTGATATCATCTGTCCCTTCTCAGGTATTACCTGCTTCTCTTCTGGATTTTATAATCTGGTGCAATGACCACCTAGAACTCACAGACAAAACTCAGGGTTGTGGGGTTTATTAGAAAAGTCCACAGGTTATAATTCACGGTCAGAAATGCTCAGGTTACAGTGCTTTGGTCAGCAGCACCTCTTCTCAGCCATACCCACAGTAACACCTCTCTCTGATCCTTGACCTCTTATGCCTTGGCCTCCTGCTCTGCTCGGGCAGTATTAAAAAGTTATTTCAGTACTGCCAATAAATGTCCAAAGGGCACTCCATCTATAACCCTTGGCCTGAAGCTGCTTAGCACTAGCTCTGTGAGATAGCAAACCTAGTTTCCCATTAACTTCTAGAGGAACCTCACTCTGCAAGGTCAAAGGCACTCCGCTTTACTCACTCCTTAGACTAGGAAGCTCAGTCTTCAGTCTACTCTATCGATGCTGCTGCTGCTGCTGCTTCTGTGGTGTCAATGGCTCTGTCTCCTGGATCAAGGAGGTTCTGAGCACACAGGTCTTGGATTCTGCAGAACATGCTCCACTCCTGGCTCTTCTCTCTGATGACAGTGCAATCCATGTTCCTGCTTCTGAAGTGAATCATTTTCAACGCAGTGGGATGGCAAAGCTGATGAACCCCGTGTTAGGGTCCCAACACCCTATTTACATGGTCCCCCAAATCTCCTGTTGGGGGAGCCACATTAAGCAATCCACTGCCCCCCTCCCCGGGCCATTGACGAGAAGAGCAAAGTCTGGAGAGCCGTGCTGTGGGTGGAAGACAGGCTGCCCAGAAATGCCCGTGCAACTCGTGCACGCCCAGTCAGTTCAATCTTCCTGAAAAGGAAGCACTATACAGCCCAGGTTACCTCTCCAAATCCTACACTATAAGTTGTCCTCAGTCCCTGGGACTAATTCTGGTCAGATTCCACCCCAGGTGGCCACTTCTCTGGAAATCATCTCACCCCTAAGGGGAAAAGGAGCTAGAAACTACTTAAGGATTTTATTTTTAACAAAATGATGAACTGTTCCAAAAAAAGATACATTAGCTTAACCACAAAAAGAGAAATGCAAACAGAGACATGAGGAATTGCGGGGCACTAGAGGGCCCTCTGGGCATTTGTCAGGGCACTAGAGGGCTCTGGGCACTTGTTGCTCCTTCCATCTGCTCCTGCTCTGGGCTGATGATGGCTTTGTCTGCATTTGCCTTCCCTGCCACTGAATGCTGCTGAGGACACACACCAAGACTGGAGCTCCCGTGCCCAGCACACACAGGGCGCCCTTGGGAAGTGTGGCCGTCCCAGCTAGATTCAAAAGGGCAGAGACATCCCTGGGGGTTCATAAGGGAAGGAATGGGGAATCGTGGGGCCAGGGAGGAGGGGGCGCAGAGAAGGTGACAACTCTGTCGTGAGAATGAAAATAGACGATCTCAGATTGGTGGGATCTGAAAATCCGGTAGTGGAGTATTTGAGATGTGCCCTCCTCAGCCCAGCGCCTCCTCCCCTCCCTGCCTCCAGTGGACTCAGAGCCTGCTTGTTTCTACACAGGGATTCATCAGGTTGGACATGTCTGAGTTTCAGGAGCGACACGAGGTAAGTGCAAGTCCTCTGGTAAAGCATGGTTTGGAGGGCCTGTCCACAGGACTCTGCCTTGATCTTTTGATGTGACTTGTCATTTGGACCTTTCGGCCTCAGATCATTCCAGCAGCTCTGAGATTGGTCCTGTCGTGGAACCTGTATGTAGCAGGACCACAGATAGTTGGACGTAGAATTCGTTCTAAAGAATAAATAGAAGATCTGCCTGCCCTCCCATCCCCACCAGGAGAGAGACAGGCACTCTTGACGGTGTAAAGCCATCTTCCTACGCATGCCCCACGTTGGACACTAGAAGCCGAGAAAGGCCATCCTAGCTTGTCTCCTTCCTTCCACCAGGTGGCCAAGTTTATCGGGTCACCACCAGGCTACATTGGCCATGAGGAGGGTGGCCAGCTGACCAAGAAGCTGAAGCAGTGCCCCAACGCCGTGGTGCTCTTCGACGAAGTGGACAAAGCCCACCCAGACGTGCTCACCATCATGCTGCAGCTGTTTGATGAGGTGAGTGTCAACTGGGAGCCAGACCAGGGGTCCGGCTGGGACCAGCAGGAACCAATGGCTCAGAGACTCCGCTGATCTTCCGTAGCTGACTCCTCCCGCAGGTGTGCCCTCATTCCGTCCATCCTTCAGCAGCTGTGGCTCCCCTCCTCTCTGGGCGGGCACTGGAGAGATCAACACTGTCTCAGAGCTGAAACTCCATGGCCCCTGGGCCAGAGAGGGAGAAACTGCACTGTCAGTTCCTGTCCTGCTGCAGACCGGCTCTGGGGCCTTGCCACATCGCTGCCCTTCTCTGGGCATCGGAGACCTCGTGTGACACACAGGAGGCCAGACAGCCCCGGTCCAAGCTCCCTTCTGGCTTCAAGAGCTCCCGATCCTTCTTGTGTCACACATCCCCTCCGCCAGTTCTCTACCGTGCTGTGGGGCCGAGGATGGTGATGGTGATAGGGGATGATATGCTGGGTGATGGAGTCCTTTTCTTCTCAGGAGCCCTGGCTCTTCACAATGTGGGCAGGCCCCCATTGGAAGGGTGACCTCTCTCTGGGGAGAAAGTCCCTTTTCTTCAGCACTTAGATGTGCTAAAAAGACTTTAGAGACCCTCTCACTAATCCTCACAATAACTGTGCAAGGTAGAAAGTATTTTGATCATTGATGAGGAACAAGGGTCAGAGACGTCTTAAATGGCTTGCCCGCAGCCACAGAGCGGGATGGAAGAACAAGGATTTAGCTGCTGTCCCAGAATCCTAGCTCTCCCCTCTCTGTACCCCTCCTTGCCTTGTTCAGACCAGAGGAGTGGGGGCCTTCACTTTCTGCCAGGGGCAGCTGAGGAGCCAGAGGCAGAACCAGATGAGCCTTCTCTTCCGCTCCAGCCCTACACAGTGCACTCCGAAGCAAGGATGTGTTAGCCAGTGCCTGGCCCAGACCTCTACATAGCCTTCTCCAGCCCTGAGCAAGTGGGAGGGGGTTACGTTCCCAGGTCTCAGGTGCACAGGGTGAGACCCAGGAAGGGACTCCCCATACCTAAGAACACGCCAGCTTCCAAGCTGACAGGACCTAGTTCCCTAGAGCTCCCCACCAGCTGCCCGCTGCCTTCCCCCCTGGTCCAGCAGCCTTGCTTCTGCCCCAGTTCCCCTGCTGTCATCCTAGCCCTCACACTCCCACGCAGGGTGAGAGCCCAGGCTTTGAAGGAACGGTGATTCCCACGTGCTCTTGGACACGCCGGCTCAGCTCGAGCCTTTTGGTGGAATCCACGTAATAGGCAGCAGCTCGCGTGACCTTGCCAACAATTCTGGGAAGGCAGGTCTCGCTGCTTCTGTGCAGACAACCAAAGTGGCTTCTCCATACTCATCCCCCCTGGAACGGGGAACCTAGGGTTTGAACAGAGCCCGAACCTCTCAAACAGTTTCAGTAACTCCTGTGCAGCGAGGGCCAAGAGGGAGGTGGATCTGCTGCAAGCTAGGCAACAGAAGTGTGAGGCACCCAAGAAACAGCAGCCGTGCACACACACCCAGATGAAAGGATCGGAAGGAGTTGATCGTGTGATGGTGGGTGCTAGCACGTCCACAAGCTGGAGGTCCGGCGACAGGCTGGACAGTCAGGCAGGGTTTCTGTTACCATCTCGAGGAAGAATTTCTTCTCTCCGAGAAACCTGTTTCTCCTCTTTAAATCCTTCAGCTGATTGCATGAGGCCCACCACATTATGGTTGGAGAGTAATCTCCTTTACTGAGTCAACTGATTGAAAATGTCCATCTCATCAACAAAATGCCTTCACAGGTATAGTGGTGACTACGGTTTAACCAAGCAGCCAGCCAGCCGAGGTGACACATGAAATGAACCATCACAGGAAAGGAGAGTCCAGCTTAAAAAGAGTGTGTACAAGAGCTGAGGAGTGGGCACAGGAGCTGTTGGGCCGCTGACGTCCCTTGAGAGGGGCCTCTGATGGCAGCTACGGGCTGAAGTACAAGCTGACCGTCTCCACCCTGGCCACCTCTTCCTTGCTGCTCCCACTCCCCTGGCTATCTTTGGGGCCTTGAGAGTGACTCCTTCCCTCAGCCCCAGCCAGCCCACGACAGCTGCCGAGGTCTACCCTGTGGGTCAAAGCTGCCACGCTAACTTAGTGTTGGATGCTGCCCCATGTGGAGCAGGAGCTGTGCTTGCCCCCTCTTTTCTCGACCATTGGCTTGCTCCAGTCTAGGACTGCACCCACTTTATATTTTGAGTGCCTTCCAAACTGGGGGCTCACTTGCCAGTGCTCCGCATCTGTTGTGATCCGATCCATAGAAGTTTCATTGGCTGATTTCTGGCAGTAGATCACCAGGCCTTTCTTCCTAGCCTGTCTTAGTCAGAGGACTCCCCTGAAACCTGACCATCACAGTGGTATTTGAATATGTGGGATAGCTTCCAGGATCACAGCAGCAAGCCACCACAGCATGGCAAACAGCACGTAGCATCTTAGTTAGTTACCCATATTATGCAGATGTATTCCTTGAGGGCAGTGACCTTGCCTTATTCACTTATTCAGAACCCACAAAGCCGGGGGAAATGATGTATTAATTCATTTAATTCAGTGATAACTCTGCAAACCTTTTCAGAATGATTAAGCATTTGCCAAGAGTGGAGAGTGAAGGGCTGGCAGTAGACACCTAATATGCAAAAGCTCAGGGTGCAGGAAGCAGCCTGATGCATTCAGGGAGCCACAGTTCAGTGTTGCTCAGCTACGGAGGGAAAGCAAGGACAGAGTGATGGAGAAGAGGCAGAGAAGATAAAAAGGAGCCAGTTAAAATGCCCAAAGAGTCTGGATTTATCCTGTGAGCGGTCCGGAGCTACTTAAAGCATCCGCAATAAGGAAACGTGGTCATCTGTGTTTCCAAGGTCCTGTGGGCAGAGGTGTAGAGAACGGACTGGAGGATGGACGGGGCCAGCAAGCAGATGGTGGAAGGTCCACGCTAGCGATGGGGAGGCTTATTCTGAAGCTGGGAAAGTGGGGAGGAGAGGGCTGACTTGCAGGGCTTGCGGATTGAAGGGAGGGAGAGGGGTAGCCAGGCATGCCCAGGGGCTAATAAGAGGCCGAGGCAGAGGAAGAGGAGGATGAGCAGCTGGTTGGTGAGGAAGGTGGCGAGCTGAGCTGAGGGATTGGTTCAGTGGATGCCTGTGCGGCAGCCAGAGGGACCTGTGCAAGAGGCCAGTCTCCTGATACACTCAGGATGCCCTCAGCCCCGGGAGAGGCCTAGAGAAGGTACTGGGATGGAGGTGGTTGCTGACCAGGGAGACACCCTGTGAGGAGGAGCGGAGAGCTAAGGACAGAGCAGGACGACTCCCGGGGAGTGGGGCTCGTCTGTTTTTCAGGGCGTGTGGTGGGGCAGAGGAACACCGACAGAGCAGGCAGCACCCTGCTTCAGCACGCATGGATTGGCGAGGGTGACTGTGAAAGTGTCCTGCAAGGATTGGCAGAAGTACAGGCCGCGGTGAAGGCACCTCATCCTCCTGGGGGCAGAGGCAGAGGCCGCAGCTCCAGTCCCCAGACCCTGTACCTAGAAAGGCAGGAGCCCAAAGCTGGCCCAGAAAAGCCAAGCAGGGCTGATGCCAGTGATCCCCAGACGGCCTCGAGCCCAGAGCCCAGGGCAGGGTGCAAGGAGGAGTGGCTTGGGGCCGGGGAATTGGCCTCGGTAACCCTGGGGTGAGCCGCCTCTGAGGAAGGTGGGGACAGTGATAGCCCCCTCTTTGGGACATGTGTTTATTGCCAAGGAAGCTGAGGAGAGAAGACATGAACTCTGGGAAAGTCACCCTTGGGGTCACTCACACACCGCACCTGCTCCCCTCACTCACCTGGGACCCATCGTCAGGCCCAGTTATGAGCAGAGCCCTGATCTCTTGGAATGAAATTGCCACTGGGTTATTGCTCCGGCCAGGACAGCAGTGTGTGGACCAGCCTCAGGGTGAGCTCCGCCGAGGCACCGAGCACTCATGGCACCGAGCGCACGCACTGGGGCACAGCTCACGTGCCCACAACCTGGCCCCCACAACGATGACCCACAGTGGGGTCTGTTTGGTGTAACCCATATCAGGGGGCACCGGGGAAAGCTGATGGTCAGTGCTTCAGAAACTGGATGTACCCTGCCTGCCTCTTCCCACCCCCAAGCAGGGATAGGAGGGGGCCCAGCCCTGGGGCCTGGGTCACAGGCCCCTTTGGAACCTAACCGTTTCCCAGAGACCAGTGCTCAGGGCCAGTGCAAAGCAAGGTTGCAAAACACCTGGGACCATGCCCGGAACACTGTAGGTGCTGCTACGAATGTCCCTGCCCCCTGTGCCTCTAAGAGGCAGGCTCCGTGGGCCATCCCAGCCGCTCGAAAAGACAAGTGGCCTGCCAACAAGGAGGGAGATGCGTGAGGGGATTCATTTCTGATGGAAGCTCAGCTTTCCTGGTATCAGGCAGGAGCCCACAGGCGAGGTCAGTGCTGACTGGCAGCCCTGCTCTGTCTGCAACCCAGGCAAAGCCGGCCAGAGCTCTCTCTCCCTTGCACCCAGCCCAGTTATAAGAGTCCAGAACCACAAACTGAACCTGGCAGACCCTGGGTCTGAGCGCTCTGTAACGAGTGTGCTCTGGCACCGGGCAAGGCAGTTCCAGCGCGGCCCTTCTCGTTGCTCGCTGTGAGGCCTGGAGCAGGTTGCTTCATCTCTCTGAGCTTCAGTTTCTTGGAGCGCTTATCATGACCCCCCTCGCGAAAGGTGGTTGTGAGTCTTAGCCAGAGCCTGGCCCAGAGAGGGGCTCGGGGCTCCAAGAGGGTAGGTTGGTGGATGAAGGACAGACAATGGACAGGTGAACAAACAGACTAACTCTTGGTGCCAGATGCCAGACAGCACGTGCAGTCTCACTTGGAAGTGCTCTCAGTCGACAGCACAGTTACCTTGAAGGCCGTGTGCACTGCAACCAGGCGTGAAGCCAGTGCTTGGAGCCCCAGGGCAGGGAGTCGCAGCCTCTGTGGAGGTAGGGGCGAGGCACCTGGGAGTTCGAGGCTGCCCCTTGGAGAAGGTGCATGCGAAGAGTGCTGCAGCCTGCCGGGCTTGTAGCGCTGACGGAGCGGTCGCTTCCCCTTCTCAGGGCCGGCTGACGGATGGCAAAGGGAAGACCATTGACTGCAAGGACGCCATCTTCATTATGACCTCCAACGTGGCCAGTGACGAGATCGCTCAGCACGCACTGCAGCTGCGGCAGGAAGCTTTGGAGCTGAGCCATAACCGTTTCGCCGAGAACCTTGGTACGGCATGTTGCCTGAGCTGTCTGGGCAGGTGACCAGGCTGCTAGCTCATCTCCTGGGGACAAGGATGGGGATTGGGGCCCTGGGCCTAAAGGAAGACCCTGGCAGACAGCTCTGCCCTTAGCTGGTTCTCATGAGATCCCAGGCACCCTGCCAGATGGTGGAGGGAGAAAGACGAGGGCAAACAGCCTCTGCTGTTTTTGCTCAGGAAAGCCCCACACTGTTGGACGTCAGGAGGGCTCCAGACAGGGGCCGGGACTGAGCCACGCTAGGGCAGGGGCTCAGGCCATGGCCTTGGAGACCGAGGAGATGGGTGCTTATCAGATAGCCGTCTTGGGTGCACCAAGGAGACAGAAGCTCAGAAACAGTATGGAGATGGGTGCCCAGCTGGTCCCCTAGGGAGGCGCCCTGTCTCGGCGGGCCCTGGAGAGTACTAAAAAGGAGCATGTCTGGCAAGAGGCTGTGTCTGTCACCTTTCTATTTAGATTGACCCTGCGGTCCTCTCTTCCAAGTCGGATCTCACGTCCTGATCCTAGAACGTGCTCGTCTCCCGTCCCTTCCCTCCTACACGCCCCACACTAAGACTCCAGGCCTCGGGGCACATGAGAAGTGAAGGCCTGTCCTTGTCTATGTGAGGGGAGCACCGAATCCCTCGGTGGGCCGCAAGGCAGGCCCGGGCGCGGTAGTGAGCAGCTTGTGACTCTGTCTCCACAGGGGAGGTCCAGATGAGTGACAAGATCACCATCTCCAAGAACTTCAAGGAGAATGTGATTCGCCCCATCCTAAAAGTGAGAGGTCGTCCTTTGCCCTTCCTGCTACTGCTGCCATTCTAAAGCTACATAAGCACCCCCTCCCTGGGTCCCCAAGCTCACCCGTCCCTCCCCTGGTCCTGCAGGCTCACTTCCGGAGGGATGAGTTTCTGGGACGGATCAATGAGATCGTCTACTTCCTCCCTTTCTGCCACTCGGAGCTCATCCAACTAGTCAACAAGGAACTGAACTTCTGGGCCAAGAGAGTAAGCGTGGGGATTGCCTGTCTGTGCTTGAGACTGGGACATGTGTCCAGTGGGAATCGGGGAACCCTGGCTGGGGGCACATGCACGCACACACAGTGGAACATGATGTGGGGGGCCAGTGGCCCTGGGGGCTCACCATCTCCCCTAGGCTGAGGCCAGAGGGGTGAGAAGGGAGACCACGGAGCCTCATGTTCTATCTGACCTGCCTCAGGCCAAGCAGAGGCACAACATCACGCTGCTCTGGGACCGCGAGGTGGCGGATGTGCTGGTCGACGGCTACAACGTGCACTATGGCGCCCGTTCCATCAAGCACGAGGTGAGTCTAAGTGAAGTCAGGTGTCCGTCC